AAATTAAACACTGCCCAACAATCACGGTAGACGTTAAATCATAAACTTGTCGATTTAATTAGATTTTATGTGATGATTTCTCTTATGGGATGACAAACCGCCTTTGTTTAAAGTTTTACGTCCCACCCAATGTCAATCAATTTCGCAGTCTTCTGTCGAAAGGGTGAGTCAAATATGAAACTAAAATAAGTAAACAAAGCACCCCGAGAATTAGTCGTATATTATCATTACTAATAGAAATAACAACCCAACTCAGTCAAAACACTAATTTTACCTACAGATCAAGGTTTAATGGGCTATTATTTTATCAGTTTAAAGCTCATCAGGTTTTGACTTTCATCAAGCCCTGATTAATCAATCACTGTCGTTTATTACCGCAGTCTGTCGTGGTTGGAGTTTCTTCTTCAAATATTTATGTTTAATTCCACGTTACTTTCTAAACAAGTTTCCATATCTATCCGAGAAAATGACAAATATCCCACACAGTCTATTGTAGGAACAATAATTTGACATATTTGCCAACAAATAATTACGAATGGATTAAACCATTATTAACACGATTGTTGCTGTTTTTTCACATTCACATTATATCCTGACACTAAAACTATATATTACGTACTAGCAGGATACCCGGCTTCGCTCGGTTGGCGGCTACACTAGGTCTGCCCCGAGTCTGAAATTTGGGGTATAGGGGTAGCTCGAACCGGGGAGTAACATAGGCCAGGTGGCGTTAGTCTACCACTTCCGGTTTCGGAGTTATGACCCCAGAGCGAAGCCGGTCTGTTCGGGGTTGGCGGCTACACTAGGTCTGCCCCGAGTCTGAAATTTGGGGTATAGAGGTAGCTCGGATCGGGGAGTAACATAGGCCAGGTGGCGTTAGTCTACCACTTACGATTTCGGAGTTGTGACCCCGAGCGAAGCCGGTCTGTTCGGGGTTGGCGGCTACACCTGCCCCGAGTCTGAAATTTGGGGTATAGGGGTAGCTCGGACCGGGGAGTAACATAGGCCAGGTGGCGTTAGTCTACCACTTCCGGTTTCGGAGTTATGACCCCTGGGCGAAGTCTGTCTGTTCGGGGTTGTCGGCTACACTAGGTCTGCCCCGAGGCTGAAATTTGGGGTATAGGGGTAGCTCGGACCGGGGAGTAACATAGGCCAGGTGGCGTTAGTCTACCACTTCCGGTTTCGGAGTTATGACCCCCGAGCGAAGCCGGGTATCCTGCTAGTTAGTATATATAGATCACGGCGTTACCAACAACCATCAATTCTACGCTTGTTTTTGCAAGTACTGAATACCATTATTTTGCCCTATAAATGAAAAACGGTTCAATTTATATTCGCCTAAATCGAGTTGTCTTAAGAATGATGAATTCGTCGGTGCTTTTGATTTTAATCGAAACTTTCGGTGGGAACGCTCCAGCAACGTATGAGGATGCCCAGAAACTGGAAACGTATCTTCTATTAAATTACAGTCAGTTGGTCAGACCATTGTTAAATCAATCAGAGATAATGACAGTGTACAATTTTTGCTAGAAGGTGTTCTTCAAATTGATGATGTGGAGCAATGTTGTATTCAAAATTGAATGGACGGACGAGCTTTAAAAATTGAAACTAAATAACTTTGGAGGTATAGCTGATATTGCAAATACTCCAGAAGAAATACTGCGTTTGCCTAGCAACATGGTTATCAATTATGTCCATGGGAGAGACTTGTTTTCAGGACAGTCCAATCCGCATCAGGTTTTACAAATTTTATGCCCTTGGATATGACGAACTTTCCCCATGATAACCAAAGCTGTTACATTAACATTCCTACTATTGATTTTACTCAAAATCAGCACAGTCTTATATGGAAACGGACAACTAAATGGATACTAGACGAAATGAGCGGCACTCACGACACAGATTGAACCAATAATGCTTTATCAAGAGTGACAGTTAGACTCAAATAGACTCAGCGCACCACTTTCATACTTTGTATTCTAGTTACTATACTGTCATTTTTGAATGTTGCCGTGTTTGCTGCTACAGTTGATTCTGATGAGATGTTGAGCTATGTTCTGACGGTACTGTTGTCCTTGGTTGTTTTTAAGAGTGCTGTTAGCGGTATGCTAACCACTACATCGATCACACAGCATGTATGACCATCTATCTTGTCTGATCGCCATCAGTACATTATCTGTGTTAATGACAGTACTCCGACGAGGTCCAAAACACCCGGCACCTCCATGATTAATGTGTGTCCCCACTGGTTGGACGAGTATTAGAAAATCAGAATCAGGGTCCTGTTTCATAAAAACTTAACTAAAATCACTTAAATAGATTTTAACTAAAATCAAAATGAAATTTTAAATTTTATGCTTTTCACGAGAATCGATTGTAACTTATAATGCAGTTTTAATAGATTTTAGTTAAAATTGCTTGCACCCGCGCAGTGCATAATTCCGGCGAGTAAGCATAAACGCTTCGGAACTGAAAATTGTTGCCAGATTGAACTAACCGTTACAATACCAACGAGGAGAGTTTCATACATTGTAGCAATGTCTGCACATGGCCAGAGAGATGAAATAAATAAGTTTATTGCGTATTATTCGTTTTGGAATGTATCAGTGAGTTGGCCTTGAACTTGCATGTCGCTTTCGCGACCTTAGCATTTGATTTACTTACAGGCTTCAATGGAAATAATGCGTATCTATAAATTAATTCGATTGAATTTCTTAGTTTTATGGTTTTTTGGATAACAGAAACTATTGATTATTGTCAAAAACATGTGACATTTCTGACTTAAACGATTAATCTAGACTTAAGTATTGTCAATTTTTAAAAGTATTTAACAACTTTTAAACTAATACACGAAATAGCCAATGTTCCGATGCCTAGATTTGAAATGTCAGTCCCATAGACCCCCTTTCAATAATATTTTGCCAAATGCCAAAGTGCCACATTCCTTATTGGATAATGCCTATCTTACTAAATTACGTGACAGGGAGTAGGGTCGCCCGACCAACCTCGTGGGTTTTCTCCGGGTCCTCCGGTTTCCTTCCACTACTAAAGACCCCTACGCGCAGGCGAATTATTGAAATAAAATTTAACTATGTGTTTGTCCCGAATTTCTTTTAGTTTTTTTTTGTCTATTAATTATTTGAAAATAGTATAATTTATACTCGAATCATATGGTAATATATAAAATAGTAACAAAGAGTTTTGTTTACTGGGGTTTTGGGGTCTGTTTCTTTCTGTTCTTCGGGTTTTATCTTCTTTAAACATAAAGAGGTGCTGTTAAAGAAAACTTATCAAGCAGCGCAACTTCAGACCACTTGTATTATTTAAACAGAAGTTCGTTAAAATCAGCAATACCCTCACTAGCAGCAAAGCCGTTCGTGCTAGCTCATAAACCAGTCAGGAATTACCTCTGAGCAAGGTCTAATACAATCCAAGCAGTTGTTTAATGAAGTTGTAGAGTATCACATCTCAATTCTGATACTATTCATTTAGATTTAGTTGACGGTTCACGCATGGCGATTTAATGTCATTTGCTGTTAAATTATGCACATCAGGTATACAATGTATAGCTAAGCAAAAAAATAAAATAAATAGAAGCATACTTTTAAAACCTGTTTAAAACGGTGACATTTTTTTACACATCGTCTTGTAAGAGGGTACTATATCAGATTAAAGTTACAATTTCATATTTTTAAGTTATAGTTCTAAAATGTATTAAAGTAAAGCCCTAAAATAGATATCTATAAACAGTCCTACCTTGTTAAAGAATAATCCTATTAATCCTATTCACTATTGCCAGTTGAGAAATTGGCAAAAATTTCATTTTCAACTTCAAATTCAAACGTTTGATGATAGCTACTCCATGGTGGGGAATAGAAAACAGGGGGGGGGGGAATTGTGTTATTATTTCCGGTGTTATGATTTTAAGTGTGAGAATGACACCTATGATCGTATAATAGTGAGTTGACAACCTATAATTGAGCAAAAGACATAGAAATAATTATGTTTTGACTTTCTTAGAAAATATAAAATTGTAACTTTAATTAATGTAGTCACGTTTTAATGGACTACTGTTAGTAGTCTGTTATTTTAACAGTTTATATTACACTAGACAAACTTTCATCTAGCTCTGTGTAATCGATTTTTTTTTATTGACAACAGCATTTTCGATGTATTTGCGGCGGCTCATATTTCCTCTTCAAATATTTATGTTGTCTATTTGTAAGTTAATTATACCTTCTAAACAAGCTCACATATTTAACCGAGAAGACTTATTCTGAAAATAATTTCATGTGGAAACAATAATAATTGTATTTGCCAACACATATCAATAATGGTTTTATCTCTTGTTGACACGATTATTGCTGTTTTTCTACATTTACAAAATAGATATAAATCATATTTGAATGGTTTTTATCTATTGGTACTGCTTAATTAAAACTATGTATCACAGTTACCACACCACCACCAGTTCTGTGCGACGCAAGGATATTGTCGTTTGTACCGTAAGTAAAATCATTTCAATTTGAATTGGCCTAAACCGGTTAATCTTGAAAATGATGAATTCGTTGGTTATTTCGATGCTTTTGATTTTAATCGAAACTTTCCGCGGAAACGCTTCACCAACCTACCAGGATGCACAGAAACTTGAAACGTATCTTCTATCAAATTACAGTCAGTCAGTCAGACCATTGTTAAATCAATCAGAGATAATGACAGTCAGTGTAGAATTACTTCTAGATGGCGTTCTTCAAATAGATGATGTGGAGCAAACTATCACTACCAATGTTGTATTCAAGGTTGAATGGACGGACGAGCTTTTAAAATGGAACCCAGATAACTTTGGAGGTATAGACATTTTAAATATTCCAAAAGAAAACAGATGGTTACCTCACATAATGATTATTAATTCTGTTCATGAGAGAGACTTGTTTTCGAAACAGTCCAGTCCGTTTCTGGTTACTCAAAATGGTTCCGTCACCTGGAAACCTGCGGCCGTATTTACAACATTTTGTGCACTGGACATGACACACTTTCCTTTTGATAAGCAAATCTGTGACATTCTAATTCTTCCTATTGACTTTACTCAAAAGCAACTCACACTGGTATTAAAGGACAATTTTTCAACGCATGGGACAAGAGAAAATGGTGAATGGGTAATAGAAGAACTGAGCGGAAGCAACGAAACAAATGTAGAGAATGATCAGTTATCAAGAGTGACTGTCCGACTCACCTTGACTCGACGCCCAACTTTCATACTTCTGAATGTATACCTACCAGTTATCATCCTGTCGTTTTTGAATGCTGCTGTGTTTGCTGTTCCAGTTGATTCTGGTGAGAAGTTGAGCTATGTTCTGACAGTACTACTGTCTTTGGCTGTTTTTATGAGTACTGTCAGCGGTATGCTACCAACTACCTCGAATCATACACCATATATCACCATATATCTATCTTGTCTGATCGTCATTAGTACCTTATCTGTCTTAATGACAGTACTAATTATAAGAGTACACAGAAGAGGTCCAGAACACCCGATACCACCATGGTTACACTGTGTTACTCGACTAGTTGGACGAAGATCAACGAATCGGAAGAAAGTTTCAGATACAGATATGGTTTCAGTGGAAACGAATATTTCTTTGAAGTGTGTAGGAAAGGGCCTGGACAAGCTATGTTTGTATCTGTCGACATGCGCAACGATTATTATGTCCGTCACTCTTATTGTCACTATATGTTATAAAATATGAACACATATCTGGAACAGTATTTTATTTTAAAATATAGAGTATATCAATGAATATTAGTATCTGGCGAAAAATTGATGTTTTTAGGGAACGCAAATCTGACCGTGTGCCATCATGTTTGTATTGTCTTACCAGGCTTACCCGAGCGAGATCTGATAGATACACATAAATTGTGTGCACCATTCTTGTTATTCTAATCATATATTTCACGTATAAATATATTTCCACGGACAGTTTGTATTTATGGTCCTTTAAGATTAATAGTATTGTAGCAACTGCAACCCCTAATGTAACATGACACTAGTTTATTCCCCTACAGGGATAATAGGTAGTACGTGTCGGATACTCACGTGTGTGCGCCTTATGTTAACTAGTGTGTATGATTGGTTGCACGGTGCGGGCCATCTAATCAGTATTGCTATTCGAGGGGCTAAACACGGGACCTCGATTTTTCGTCTCATCCGAATGACTAGACAGCTGTCCTTGTCAGTCCCTTCGGTCTGCACCACTGACAAGGGGAAACCACGTCGGAAAATCCCGATGAACTTTCTCGGCCAATGCAGGGATCGAACACCCGACCTCCAGGCTAGCGAGCCAGCGTCTTAACCACCTAGCCACCGTTGGTCCCTAGTAATTTACGCTGGGCAATTGTAGCGTAATAGTTCAGGCATTTTAATTCAATACCGCATCATCCGAAAACGGTTTATAGTCGGTCTAGACGTATATAATCACCCCAAAAATTCCCAGTCTTAAATATGTGTCCAAATAGGCCAAAATCCATAATAGTCGCCAGTTTTGGCTGGGAAATGCCAATTTTTACCAAATTATCATGACCGAGTTTTGGATCAACTATACCTTTATGTAGTAGCTAAATCCATTTCCATGGTGATTAATTATACCGCCGGGTCAATATTGGGAAACAATTCAAGATGGTGGTCAGTTTTGGCTGGAAAATTCGAATTTTACAAAATTATCTAATTTGGTGAAAAATTATTCGTTTTGAAGTAGTTTATTACATTTTCGTTCCCATTTTATCATGATGGTGATTAATTGGTTTCCTTGGATCAAATTAGGAGGAAATCCCATTAGAGATTTGGAAGTTAAAGGGACTATCCTGATTTGAACAGAGTCTCAAAAATGAAAGTCCGAGTACGTTTGAAATTTAAGCGCCAAAATATAGAGGAATGGTGTATTTACCTTGTCTCAAAAATTCAGCTCACAATATTTAGTCGTTTGGACGTGAAAGTCATAAATGCTTATCCGGACACGTAACCCTTTTAAGATTTCTGGTCATTTTTTCCTTGGGTGACCTGGTAATCGATTCCTATTCCTTTAGAGGTCTATATAATGAATGGCCCATGTGTTGTACTTGATAACGAAAGGTAAATTTCACCTGCACATTATTTTTATAAAGTAAAAGTCTGGTTTATCCGTAAGTCGCATAATACAGTTTGGGACACCGGTCTCCATTTCCAGATAAAGACTGACAGGTTTAAGTTGTTTGCAAACGTATCACAAATATTGAGTTAGTTGCTCGGCCCTCTGGTAGATGAGTTTAAGGGATTTTAACACAAAATTAAGCAGTTTTATTCTCCAACATATTATCGGGATTGGCCCTTTAAGAATTCTCGAGTTGGTTCAGATCTAATACGATTTCATTCATCAAGTATCAACTAAATTTAATTTCACCTTTCTGGCCTACCAATGGCGGTAGCTGCATAGCAAGCACATTGAAAGGAGCCACTCTCAAGTCACCGCAGATGCTGCGTAGTTGGTGTGTCTGAGTTTGGTGAACAACCTCGAAAAATTTGAGCCAAGATGGCTATAAACCTATTGAAGCACGCGGCGAGTTTATTTCACAAAATAATTCCAATGATGGGATATGGATGAATTCCGATATTCAGTTAACCGTTAAATAATGAACTGTCCACCTTCATCCCGAAAGTAACGGAAAAATAACGGGTACTGGAGGTCAAAATAAAGCGGCTAAGCTGAGAAATGATGGCCATATTTTCGAGCTCGGCGATGAATACATGTGGAATGTCACAAATATTACTAGTATCCAACTAATATTGAAAAAAATTGTAAAGCTATGGAAGTGGAGGGATCTGTACCATGTTTAGAAGGTCAGTGGTGCCAAATGTTGTTTTTGTGGACTATTGCTTTTTTCGCTTGGTCTGAATCGAAAGATTAACAGACTGTCGATTAAATCACAGTGACCGCTGTAGAGTCCGGGACAACTATTATTTTTAGAAGTTTTATTTGTATTTCTCTTTTTATACCCTGCCGCCCACCGGTCAGTCTGTCCACCTGACTGTATCAAACTTGGCCGAGTTGGTCATTAGGTAAATGCCTTGACTAATTTAGATACTAGGTAGAAATAAGCCATATCAACGGTCGAGAATTTTGGCCAGGATGACTGCACCTGGAATTGAGAGGTTGGGCGGTTTGTAGGGGGCGGGGGATGCATATATTTGTATAAAAAAACTTGGTGTATAGTTTGACTAGGTTCGACATTTTTGCTTAGGTTATGCCGGGTGATTAACAATTTGATTGCTAGATGCTTTGCAAAAATGATAATTGTGCTATCAATTATTGATTGTCATCTATTAAGCGACATCAGCCACGCTGTTGATTTGTTAAATACAGATTACTCTCAGTTTTGTCCAGTTTCCATTTGACCTTCCGACAAACTAATTGTTCTGTGTTTTTATGAACTTTGGCACCACAGTAAAGAGCCCTTCAATTCAATAGCTTTTCCAATATTAGTTAAATGATAGTGGAATTTCCGGAATTCCACATGGTATTTTTCACCAAGCTTGAAATCACGGCCATCATTTTTCTCAGCCCAACCGCCTTATCAATGCAACGAATATCCGTTATTTGGTTTTTGGGCTAGCATAAATGCTGGTAGTGGGCGTAATTCTAATTTGGACACTCTTGTGTATATGATATGTACTCACATTTAAAATACAATAAGAGTAAATTTAATAGTAGCAGTTATCTACCAATAAGGACGCATTTGAGGAGTATTGGAGTTTATTAAATGGAAAATCCCCTCACTAATATAAACATCCGAAAGTAATCTGTTAATGCAACTGATCTTTTGTATCTTTTTGAAAAGGATCGAGCAATCAACTTGATTATCTATACATAGTCGAAGCTGTAAATGTTCACGATCAAACTCAGTCAATGTTTAGAAGTACCTGGTAGTGAAACTAAGCACTAAGTTTCATGACTCTCCATCAATTAGAATCCAAGTGATTGTTCCCCGCAGCTCTGCTTCGCTTTTGCGGATAATGTTAACCATTGAACTCGACCAAGACATTCGCCCACTGAACATTTACACCAAGTTTCAACATTCTACTGCAATACTTCGAGTTTCATCACTCTCTCCAATTAGAGCCAAAGTTATCGTGTTCCAAAATCCTGAAAAATCAATTTGATTATCTCTGCGTAGCCTTAGTGGAAAATGCACATGGTCGAATACTGTCAAGGCATCCACCTAATAGACACCTACGCAAAGTTTAAACATTCTACCTCAATTAGGAGAGTTATTGTGTTCCAAAATCTCTACCAATCAGATTGGAGTATCTACCGAAGCTGAAAATGCTCATCATCGAGTCAATGTATTGATGTAATGCTCATCATCAAGTCAAGGTCACTAAATTAGAGTCAAAGTTATCGAGCTGAGCAAAAAATACTCAGGGTATTGAAATAATGAAACTATACACCAAGTTTTAACACTCTCACCTAATTAGAACCAAAGTTATCGTGTCCTATAGCATCAACCAATCGAATAGCTTATCTCTGCTTACCCTAAGCAGATAATGCCCGTCTTCGATCTACAGCAAGGCATTTATCTAATAAACAGCTACACCAAGTTTAAAGGTTATGGCTCAATCAGGAGAGTTATTGTGTCCCAAAAGGTATAACGGACGGACAGATCCATTATAAGTGTTCCCATGCTTACCTTGACAGGCTGGCATCGTGGCTAATTATGTTGATTGTCCACCTCAAATTTGATACTTTCGGGTTTATGGAAACTCGCGTGACATATTCATTAGAATTATTTGATCAAAGTCCCCTGCAGTGTTACAAATCACCATCACTTCGCCTAAATCCGAAGTCATTGATTATATCGACGCTTTTGAATTTAATTGGAACTTGCAATGGAACCGCTTCAACAAACGCTTCGGTTTACTTTTTTTCTAGACGGTGTTCTTCAAATCGATGATGTGGAGCAAATCATTAGATTTTACATCATTCTTCCAATTGAGGTTTATCAAAATAAACTCAACTTGTGTCATATACCATTTACCAAAGAAACGGAAAGTAGTAAATAGATGATAGAAGAACCCAGCGGCACAAACAAAAAAGATGAAAACAACACCAAGTTTGAACATTCTAGCTCAATTAGACATAGAGTTATTGTGTCCCAAAAAGTGTGACGGTTGGACGGACAGGCAGACAGACAAACCCATTTTAATAGTCCCCGGCTTTCTTCGAGTAGGCGTTGGTAGGCGTTAAATCAAAAACTTGTCTATTTCATTAGATTTTATGTGTTGATTTCTCTTATGGGATGACAGACTGCCTTTGTTTAAAATTTTCGTCCCATCCAATGTTAATCAATTTCGCAGTCTTCTGTCGAAACGGTAAGTCAAATATGAAAC